AAACATTGGACCAGGCTGCCCAGGGAAGTGGTTGAGTCCCCATCCCTGGAGGTGTTTAAAGGACGTGTAGATGAGGCGCTTAGGGACATGGTTTAGTGGGCATGGTGGTGTTGGGTTGACGGTTGGACTCGATGATCTTAGAGGTCTTTTCCAACCTCAATGATTCTATGATTCTATGATTCTATGATTCTATAAGTTTGACACATTCCTGGGCTACCACCATTTTTGCCTGGGAAAGGGCAAACTTCTTATCCTCCACCTCACTGTGAAGCAGTTCGCAGAGAGGCTCAGCCCGCTGCAGCACTGACAGCACGGGGTGCTTCCCCTGCAGCCGAACTGCTGCACGTGAGTCTGGTGTGGGCGCAGGCAGTGGGGTGTTATTTCTCAGTGTGATGGCTTTTACTGTACCCTTCACAGAGGAGGTTGAGGGGGAACAACCCAGTGAAATGTCGTGTTGAGTTAATGCTGCAGGTAAGACTGCTGCATTGTTCAGCATTTTAGCAGAGTGTAGATACACAGAGGAGCTGAGCCTGTTTATTTGTCTAAGGAGTTTGGCACTGTGTGCTAGTGTGCTCTATGCTATTTCTTATGGAATAATAATTAAAAAAAAACCACCTTGAAATTTGAACTAAGAATGCACCTTAACTGAATGCCAAGTTAATTTTCTGATCCTTATGATGAGAAAAAACTCCTCTGTATGTTCCTCTGAATCTTGCATGTGCGTATTTTGTAATGAGCTATAAAAATTTTATCTTTGTGGTATGGAAGTTTACAGTCAATCTTGTTCACAGTGAGGTCTCCTGTACTGTGTTTCCTCCTTACAAAAATGGGAGTGAATGTTGTGTATCAGTTCTTTTATAATGAAGGCTCCCTACGGAGAAGACGAATTCTGCTCTTGTCATCCTGCAGTAAAGGCATGACTTCATGTGATACTTAGAACGCTCTGAACCTGGCTGTAGGTGTGACAAGTTCATTTTCCATGTGCTCTCAGTTCACATCCCTGCGCTGCAGGCAAGCTGCGGGCTGCTTTCACGGGGATGCCTACCAGTCATTAACCCTCCATTGTGTGAGCTTGCACATTTTCTGGAAGATGTGTTCCAGCAGCCCTTGAGGAGGAGCCAGGATGGGCATACAGAGGTATGTATGATAGATCCGTATCTATACATACGCGTACATACAGACATTGACAGGGGAGGGAAATGGGCATACATAGATAATAACTGCTGTTCTCTGAGAGAGGATCTCACCTTTTCCCTCTGTCTTGTCAAGGTAAGGCAGCACTGAAGAATATCAGTGTCTGACAGGTACCAGGCTAGATTCAACAAACGATTTACACATCTAAGCACTAGGTGTTTCCATCCATAACCCTGGGGCAGTGAGCCTTGGAAGCTGATGTTAAACACCTGTGTACCCTGCGCAGTCTGTAAAGGAGTCAGGCACCTCAGACTGGGAACCATTGCGGCCCCAAGGGGTGTCCGGGAGCTCCCAGAAGAG